AAAAGTTTTATTTACATCTCAGTCTTTTCTGTCATTATCGTTTCTGTTCTTATTTTTGTCTTATTTTTTCATCATTCCCCACTGCCTTAGGCAAATGGATAGGAGAGTAGTCCTTCAGTCATTTGCTTTAATATTTCTTTTGATTTTATTGTAATCAAACTTTCTATAATCTCTGTCTCAAATTTCTCTTTATTTTCATAAAAATGCTTAGTGTCACAAATGGTATAGCACAAACATCCTTTCTCTGTCATTTGAAATAGTAATCTTTAGAGTATTTTTATCTATGTTTTCCCTACCTTATTTCTTAATTAGCACCTTGGGGACAAGGATCAGGAAGGAAGGGAAAGCAGGAGAGAGAATGAGAGAGAGGGAGGGAGAGAAAGAAGAAAAAATAGAAAGGGAGAAGATGGGCAAGTCTCTTTTGCTGCTTGGAATCAGCAGTACGACTCCTCATTCCCACTTTCCTACATTAACATACTTTGGTTTTGCTCTATGAATTCTATGAAGTATCTTTGTAACAATAACAGAGACTTAAAAAATATAATCATAGGCTTGTCCATCAGTAACATTTGCTCTTCCAATTGCTCTTTCATCTGAGCAAGCAAGACTTTTTATGAGAGACCTGGCTAAGGACAAGGGTGTAGCCTGGGTTCTGGACAAGGGCTCCCTGAACAGCTGAAAGGTTCTATGAGCACCTGGCTAAAAGGCAATACAGCAGCTTTGTCAGTGGATGTCAACTGTGGACCCTGCATTGTGAAATCTGAAGATGAACACAATAGAGTGACTGCCCTCAAGGACTCTACAATAAATGGTAATATTCGATTGTCAACACACTAGAATATAATGGTATACATGAATGAATGCTGACTGTTCCAAAAAGGTGAGCACAGTGGACACACTGCACTGGAACATTCTCATGGAAGAGACTGACTTGAGCTGGGTCCTGAAAGGATGAAAGTATTTGGCTGAATAGAGGATAGGAAGGCTATACAGAGATGCCCATTATTATTATCAAGGGAACATAGACAAACCTAGAGGAAGGAAAAGACACAGAGTATACAGGGAATATTGAAGAGATGCAAATGAAAGTTCTCAAGGGTCTTAAATAACAAGCTGAGGAGCCTGAATGTACTCTATCCTGTCTTGACTTAAGGAAGGACAGTAAATTCTGAACAGGACTTCTTTGCATATACTGTTCCCTGTGTCTGCAATGGTCTTGTCCCCACTTCTCACTCCATCCACACCACCGCCATCCTTTTCTTGATACAGCTGGCTCCTTCTTGTATTTGGTTTAAATGTTCACTTCCTCAGGACACCCTCTATATGTGATCCCACTCCCCCTTCACTATCATAGCATCTGTGATTAGTTTGCACATAATTAATTGAACCACTAAATGTAACTATGTGTTTCTGTCTAGCCCCTCCACCAGCACCAAAAGTCACCAAGTCAGGAACCACGTCTTCTGTGTTTACAATGCTTCCTTGACAATCATGGTCATTTTAATCCAGCTTCCTATCTCTTTCCAGCCAAATCGTTTCATCCCTTCCAGACCCAGCTCAAGTCAATCTCTCCCATGAACTTGTTCCAGCCTATTCTGCACACAGTACATCAAGAAGAGGAGAAGGTCAAAGAAAGAGCCCCGTAAAGCATCTATTTTATAAGCAGGCCAAAAAAAAAATAGAGAAAGAACCCTAGGGTAGAGAGGAACAGGAGAGGTCAATGTCCCCTATTCCAAAGAACAGGTGGCAGACAACCTTAGAAACCTGAGTGGGGTGAGAACTTTAGATTGGGGTGATAACAAAGTGTTTTTACTTAGAGATTACCCATGATTTTAAAGAGAACGTTTCATCAGGATGGTAGTGATGGAAAGTAAATTGTCTGGGTTCAAGAGTATGCATTTGAGAAGCCTGGGAAAAAAAGAATAGAGAGAGCTTGAGTTTAAGGATGGGAGCAATATGGAAGTTGACAAGGAAAAGATTAAAGACATAGGGGCAAGAAAGGGTAGCTGATGGCACTGAAGAAGGGAATCATAGAGAATCCTTTGCAACGTGCCGTTAAAGGAAGCTTCAGAACATGTCTCACAAAGTAGCCAAGATGCATGAGGCAGGAGCCTAACTTTACATTTGCTATTTCCTCACAGGTTGGAATGATGGCAGAAAGCCATAAAAGAGGCCTGATGGGCAATATATCTCTGTTAATAAGGCAATGAGAAATGAACACAAAACCACCTGCAATTGGAGGGTTGCCTGTATAGCAAAGCTCAACCACACCCATTTATCTTCTCCAGATATCTTGACCCACATAAATCCACATGACTCTCACTCATATACTTAAGAAACAATTTTTCAAAATCTTCCCCACAGCACCATAGAACTTCAGATCTAGCAGGGATATTAAAATCATCAACAAAATGAACCCAAATAAAGGAAGACATTTCCCTCTCCCGACTGTCATTTCCTTTTTTTTTCTCTGCATGCTAATATTTCTTTTAATAAAATTCACTCTTACACTAAAATATGACAAGGGCATAGCCAATAAATAGAATTCTCATTTTTCCATCTCCAAATCTCTAACTGGTTTAATAATTCACTCCCTCTCAGTGCCTTAAAAACGGGACTTTTATCTTTGAATTTCATCTGAAAAACTGTTCTCTTCTCCTCCCACTTGCTAAATGGACTCCATTTATCACTCATTTTATGGGCGCTTATCTACTCCAAGAGAAGTTTGATCAGATAACCTGGTCCTTAGAAAAGCAGAGGAAGATTGCTAGGAATGGCTTCTATTGTTTGAAAACCTCCCTTTGATCTGGATTTTTAGGATGGTGGAAGGATGTCACCAGGGTCTCTTGCATATTTGATGGTCCAGGAAATTATTACCTTGGTCTCAGGGTCTGGAGAGCCTTGGCTGAACATGCTCACTGGATCCAGTCCTTCAGAATGATTTGAGGATGAGCTTAATCCCCAGTCAGAGCCTGAACATTCCTAGTTTAATGTTGTGATATAATATGACAGATTTATACATTGTTCTGACATAATGAAATGCAAAGAGATGAAGTGTTTTATTTACACAGTAACCTCTTATTTCAACAGTTCACTGGCTGTTATGTAGGCTTTCTTGGTCTCATCAAAAAGCCTCAAGAAGCATCACTGGGAGCCTTGCAGAGCAGCCTCGCCAGCTTACAGAGACCAAGGCACTGGGCCATGAAGTCAGGAAGAAGAAAACAACAACATAAACCAACAAGAAATAAAACCAGGAGACCTGGGAACTTCCACTATTCAAAGACATCTGTAGAGCTCTCTGCCACCCTGATGTCCTTTCCTCTCTCTGGATACAGAAGCCACAGATAACATGCTTGTTGAATGAATCCCTTCCCAGGTTTATCATTCACTCAACAAACATTATTCTTTGTCCTTCAGTGAACATGGTGCTCCCTCTAGGAGACAGAAGGAAGTGCACACAAAGGTGAAAGGGGTACAGTTCTGCATTCAAGGAGAAGGCAGCCTTGTGAGGAAATCAGACAAACCCCTAAACTCCATGTGCTGTGTGTGCTCCACGGTAGAGGGCATGGCAGGTGTTAGGGAGGGGACTCAAGGAAGAGATGAACTAAACGAATCCAGGGGTAGATGAAGACAACCTGGTCCTTAGAGTTTCATTTCAAGTGAACATCATTTCGGCTCTGTTAAGGACCAACCTCCTATGAGTTTGGTTCAGCCCTCCAGGTGGAGAACATGGGGAGGGAGTTGGTGCTTCTCTTCTAAACAGGTGCTCTGGCTGTAATACTGGAGGGACAGGAGTTCTTGGCCACGACTCTTCATGAAATTTGAAAAGTACATGAGTGAATGTGATAGATGTTGGCTCACACTTTGTTCCATAATATGATCAGGATTTGACACAGGAGATAACAGGAGGCACTCTAGATAACACTGTTCTTATTTACTGGAGCAAAACACGTGCCTCCAAATATGTGTTCTAGTATATTTGGGTAAGAGCAAGTGGAGGCAAAAAAGGCCTTCTTCATTACCAACGTTAGAAAAACAAGAAGGAAATAGTTTGCTCCAGGGTTCCCTCCACCCGTACTTTTGAGAGAGAAGAAGAAAACGTAGATCTCATTCTAAAGTAAAACCTTGCTTTTCCAAGTTTGGCTGAAGGACCAGCATCATGAGCAGCACCTGAAAGCTTGTTAGACATGCAGAATCTCAGGCCCCAGCCCCAGCCCCAGCCCACTGCATCAGAAGCTGCGGTTTAACAAGCTCCCCAGGTGATCTGCATGCACGTTAAAGTTTGAGAAGCCCACTCAAGACCAGCGTGGTGACTGACCATGGGAACACCTGAGGAGCTCTTTACACGACTGCTCCCACGCCCGGGAATTCTGATTTAAATGGTCTGGCTCCCTAAGTAATTCCAAATGTGCAGAGAAGGTGGTAAAGCACTTGGAGGCCTCCTGTTCCCCAAGAGAACCTCTGAAAGAGCCGCAGCTCTGGGTGCTGATGCTGTGGATGGACCATAAGAGCTCTCTGAAGCCCAGGAGAGACGCTACCCCTTCCTGGTACAGATGACCACGGGACCAAGGCTGGCTGTTCCTATCCAGGTGCCCCAGCCCACCCCTGCACCCATACACACAAGGCTCTTCACTGTGCATTTCAGGATGTGGAATTCGTAGAGATTTGTCATGGTAGATCAAAACATTAAGCCTGGAATGTTCTATGCCTGCATGTTTAGCGCATCCTCAAACAAATTGTTTGCAATTAGGTTCGGGTCCTCTGCTGTAGAGGGTAATAGAAGAAGAAAGGCTGGCCAGAAAAGTTAGGAGCCTGAAGATGGAAAGCAAAAAACAAACAACAACAAGAACCAGAGAGGAGTTTCCCAAAGGAAGCAGCACCCAGCAAGCCCCTGCCGTGAGTCAGCACGGGGGAGGCCCAGCCCCTTCCAGGAGAGCCTGGTTAAGGAGCCGGCTCAGGGGCTGGGCTGGGCTGGGCTGTGTGTGCTGCTGCTCTTGTCCCAAGACCAAGTCTGAAGAGCCACTTTCCTTCCTCGGCCGTTTAAACTTTTTTTTTAATCCTGTGGCTGGAAAGAAGTGTCACATTTTGCTCACTCCCAAGCCTTCCCCCCCCACCCCCTCTCAGAGACCCTGGGCGTGTGGAGGGGGTGCTGTGAGCCACCTCCAGCCTCGGGTGCCTGCTGGAACGAACTTCAGCTCCTCTCACTGAAACGCTATGAAGTTCCTCGGGAAGCCCAGGAGCCAGACAGCTGCCTCTCTGCCTCTTTGCTTGATCTTTTTGAAGATCCTGCAACCAGGGCACAGCCACCTTTACAGCAACCGCTACGCTGGGTAAGTGCAGCAACCTGGATGCCCTGCACGGCTTTTAGTTGGATGAGGGGGCTGGTGTAGGGATGGTGGTCTCTGTGTGAACCTGAATACTCTCCTGGTCACCTAAAGTAAAAAGTGTGTGAGTCCCCAGCTCGTTGGCTGAGCTCACTGAGAGAATGTGGAGGGTGCGAGTCTAGCTTCCCATACTTTGCAGTGTGCCAGCCTCCCCTGCGGACCCACGGTGAATGGGATTCTGTCTTTGCAGTAGCTGCGGGCAGTATTTGCCTTGGTGGATGCTGGGAGGGGGGTGGGTGGGAAGGATGCTGCTGTACCATGTGAATTATGATCTGAAAACTAGAGCTTCTCCTTTAGCGTTGTGTGCGGGAGCAGTGGGTTGAAATTCACCGGTGATTCATTTAAGCACTAAGTGTGCTTTTTTTTTTTTTTTTTTTTAATGCTTGTTAGCCCCCAGCATGGTCATTAGAAAGATTTCCAAATCTGAGTGATGCAAATGAGTCGACTCAAAATAAGCAGAAGAAAAGTAGCCAACTGTAAGATGAGGGGCGTTTTCCTGAAGGGAGAAACATAGAAGGGGAAAACAATCCATTTCCCCTGTGGGTCAGCGTGCTTTGTGTGTAAAGTGCCTTTCATGAGGAGGCACGGGGCGCACAGAGCAGTGAGACTGCACGTCCTGTGGTCCCGAAGGCTTGCTGGGAAGATATGCATACAGCATGTGCTTTGCTTGAACTTGCAGGGGGTCATTCTTTGAATCTGGAAATTATGGCATTCCTGCATTTTAGAGCTGGGGGAAAAAAACCTTAAATAGCTCCTCTAGTTCAATGCCTTTCTGCAGAGCAGGAAAACCGGTGTCTTAAATCTTTTTTTAAGCCGTCAACTATGTATGGCTCAATAATTACCAGTTGAGGACAGCTTTCATGTAGATCTGGATTATGACCGGGGAGCACCCAGTGTCCTAAAGCAAAGCTGTTCTTTTAGTGTAAAGAGCATGTGTAAGCGTGACCCTGAAAAGAGAGCTGTTTGCCTTCTCCTGAAGAACCTGGGCTCTGCCTTTGGAGTCCCTCTGAACTGAGTGCTCCCAGGGGACATTTTCAGAACCTGTCCTCAGTTTTAGGGGGTGTGGCTGGGGGTGGGGTGTTGGTTGAGATGGGGACCGTGATGGTCATGCAATCCCAGATTTTTCCACCGCACTGTTCCCAGGAAAAACAGAGGGCTGCTTTTCGGTCTCCTAGACACACAGGGTCCAGTCATTTGTCGCCGCCCTTGGTGTTCTGGGGAAAGAGGCCCGTGTTTAATGACTGAGGGTACAGGCTGAGGTCGCAGAGGAACTGACTGTGACTGTCCTAGCTGACTCAGGCCACATAAGAAGCATATATCACAGGTGTAGGTGCGCCGTGTGACACAGGACCTCGCTCCTCTGCTCACCCTGGCCCTCTCCGTAATTATGCCAGCGTGTGGCACTCCTCCATGTCTGGTTACCAGGCCCGCTTCAGCTGTGCAGGTGTGCGCACTTTCCCAGGAAATGAGGCTGATGTTGGCGCCCTTCCTTCTAGAATTCGCAGCCACTGGGACTCTGGCGGAAGTTGTGCTACCTTTCCTATTCTGCAATGCAAGTAATAATTGCTATTTTCTCTTTGGCTGCTATGCTACATAATAAGTTAGTCCCGGATGTATAAATTACCAGGCATCTGGAAGTGGGACGAAAACGATACAACTATGAGAAAGTGAAGAAGGCAGGCTTACCTGTCCATCACAGTAGAAGCCTAGAGCTTTCTCCAAACAAGACACGTTTCAGAGCACACTCACCCTCCAAAGTGGGGGGTTTACTGACCCGCTGTTGTTCTCTCATCACCAAAGAAAATGCATAAATTTGGGAGTTGTTTTTTTTTTTGCTTTATTTACTCAGGGGCTGCTTTCTGCAGGCCTAGCTCCTCAGTGAATCAGAACCTGATGGGATGACATAGTGGAATAGTATTTAGCAATATTTTTGTTGCAGTTCTAAACCACCTCATTTTTAATCCCTTACATAATTTGTTCCGGTGTTATTGCTAATAATTATGGAGCAGCCCTATTCCTTGCAGTCTTATAAAAAATATTTTTGTAGGTCATGGTTGAATCTAATAATATGGGATTATCATTCGCAGCCCTCTGCACATGAATGAAAAATAGAACACTGAGGGCAGACCAGCATGTCCCCCGAGAGCAGCTTTCAGCTCAGTCCTCCTTCTCCACAAACTGACAGTTGTATAGTATAAATTGTATAATGGATGCTCAGTAAATGGCAAATCTAAGTGTCTCGGGGGGAAGAATTGTAGAGAAACCTCAAGGAAAATCTGACAAAAGCTAATGCCTTTTTGGATAGCTAGATGAAATCACACATTTAGAAGGGAGATTTAAAATACATAGAGCCCTAACTGGTTTGGCTCAGTGGATAGAGTGTCAGCCTGCGGACTGAAGGGTCCCAGGTTCCATTCCAGTCAAGGGCATGTACCTTGGTTGTGGGCACATCCCCAGTGGGGGTGTGCAGGAGGCAGCTGATCGATGTTTCTCTCTCATCGATGTTTCTGACTCTCTATCCCTTTCCCTTCCTCTCTGTAAAAAAATCAATAAAATATATATATTTTTAAAAAATAATAAAATACATAGAAAAATCACTTCTCGGCCTTTTGGCTAAGATCCAGTGCAAAATACATAGAAAAAGAAGTAAGCAAAATGTGGGAAATAACTTGACTTCAAATAATATGTATTGATCCTGTAGTGTCAGAGGGCTTCGAGGGCTCCAATGCAGGTCAAACATTTCCCGGATAAACAAACGTCAGTCAGTGAGCGGACACAGGCACACAGCACTGTCCTCGCCTTTCTCTCGCCTCCTCGTGTGCGTGGAAGCAGACCTGGTGATTTACTATACTGAGGGCAAACACATAAGGATATTCCCAATCACATGCAATTACGGTAGATTTTCTTTTTAGTGATGGTAAAAGAGAGATGTAAGACAACAAAGCAATACATTCTGCCAATGCGGACTTACAGTGGCTAGGATTTTTTTTGAGAACTACTTATTTGGTACCTTTTTCATGTGAGTCAATGTGACAATGCTTATAAGTTCTGAAGTTCAAGTGCCTGGGTTTCAGTTTCTGCTTTCCCACACTTCATAGCTGTTACCTTGGGCAAGTTCCTGAACCTCTGGGACAATGGAGATAATATTAGAACCTTTGTCATCAAGTTCTTGTGAGGATGTTGGCACTTACTAAATACTTAACAGGGTGGTAAAATAGCTAATCCTTATTAATAATTTACATAAACATTTATAAAAATAGTAATTTTCTCAACAACCTTATGCAGTTTTTGGTATCCCCATGGTAAATATAGGCTAAATGAGGTGCAGGCAGGGTAACCCAAGTTCAGCGCTAACTAACCCAGCTTCACCTGACTCCACAAACTAGTACTTCTCACTCTGCCACCCATTAGGTATGGAAAACAATTGCTTTTAAGGAAAACTAAATGGGCCCTGGCCAAGTAGCTCAGTTGGTTAGATCATTGTCCCAATACACCAAGGTTTTGGCTTCAACCCCCAGTCAGGGCACATAGAGGATGGCAACCAATGAATGCATAAATAAGTGGAACAACAAATCTCTCCCCCACCTCTCTCCCCCTCTCTCTCCTTCTCCCCCTCTCTCTCTCAAATAAAAATAATTAAAATTAAAAAAAGAAAAACTGAATGTTTAATCTTGTTTAGGAAACTGATCCTTCCGGTTAATAAAGGAAAGGGGTAGATTGTGTAGATAAACTTGGAAGTTTAATCTTGGTCCCTTCTCTAGGGTGATGATGAGTCACTGAGGGTAAATCATTATTAAAAAAGCAGACAGAGACCACAGGGATGGAAAATGAACGAACTTTAGATGGTCACACACACACACACACACACACACACTCTAGCACAGAAAGTGGCTGTGAGTGTGTGCCTTCATTCAACAAGTATTTGAATACCTACTCTGCACCAAAAGTGTTAACAGAGCCAATGTCCTCTGAGAGCTTACAGAAAATAGCCAGCCCCACACCTAACCTTACCATACAGCATGGAAGTGCTGTATGGATGACAGACTATCATGGGATTAACAGGAGAGCTCCATGAACCAAGAGGGAGGTGTGGGAATCCTTCCAGGGCCTCACCTACGTAGTCACCCCGTCCTGCTGCATCTCAGCTAGAGATGGAGAGAGAACTGACTGCCTGCCACCAGCACTGCTTCTGGGGACTTGAACCCACATGGATCTGCCTTCGAGGCTTCCCGCCACCTCCTTCCTCACCCAGCCCTGCATTCCAGAAGACCCCTTTCATGTCTCTGAGCAATTTCTTCCCCTTCTCAGGGGAGCAGCTCCAATGACTCAGCCTTTTCCCCATGACCATAGGTGAGTGCAGGCTGGTTACAGCCAACCAGCTGGTGAATTCTGATTAGTCAGTGTCCATGCTGTAGCCACACACCTACCCCTGTCCCTCACTTGCTACCATCCCACACACCCCAGTTATTTGTCAAGTTACCTTGTTACCCATGGAAACGGGATATAAATATTCAGAAATTAGACTTAACGGAAATAAGATTTTTTAAAACTGTTTGGTCCTCAAAATCCTGTAGGCAAAGAGGCCCCAAGTTGGGATGTGACATATTGAAGAGAAGAGGATTGTGAGAGATACAGTGACAGTAGATCAGATTCAAAATTCAGGGAAATCACATGTGTTTCTACCCTACCGCTCTGGCTAGACCACTATCTCTCAACAGCAGCTTTTTATTCTTTTATCCTCTGATGGTGACTCCCTTTTAATACTCTGAACTTTTTGAAACCTGGAGCTGGTGGTATGAATCTGGGAGTTACCTTCCATGTTGATAGTTAAAGCTCTTTTCAGGTAGAATGGCCATACATTGTCATTTGCCCAACACTGTCCCAGATGTAGTAATTGGCAGTGTCCCCTTTCAGTCTGAAAAGGGTTGTGATTTGGATAGGAAATT